AAAAAAAAAAAAAAAAAAAAAAAAAAAAAAAAAACGTCCAAATCAGCGATTATCTCGAAGCATTTGTTGTCGACACCCTTCTGATATCTTTGGGATGCAACATATGCCTCTATAATGTTCGAACCCCCACCACTCACATTCTCGAAGTCTAACAAAGTTAGCAAATGTGAAAACCGAGTCTGATGCTACTATTTGCGACACCTACTGTTCTTGGACTGTAGCGACAACAGCCCCTCACGAAGGCCATCCAAGAGATCGTTATCTGATGGAGATATTCCCGGGACTAAGACTTCAAAGAGCCCCTTTGAAGGACGACAGAAAACCAGGTGCATCAGAAGTTCAGACTGCACTGCAAGAGGCCCTTGTGGATAGCTATTCGTATCTTTGGACACATGAGAATCAAGAGAAAGCTCGTTGAATGTGCAGACAAGTGATCGGCAAAGTCTTCACAAATTTCAGGCAACTCCTCAACCCAGTTAGAAAGGGTCTCACGAATCCTACTGAAATCTGCCAAGACAGTAGCATCACTCAAGACAGCCACAGGAGATGATCTGAGTATTCGTGCCTGACAGTCTTGTAATTGTTCCTCCAAAATTTGGTTATGCTTCCTCAATTGGGCAATCTTCTCCTGCATTGATCTTATAACGTGTTGATTCCCCCCAGAGATATGCCTAAGTTTGGATGTCTCATGGTACAGCAATTTTGATAGTTTGACTACATTGCTGTATGATTGCTCCAAACCAGCTTCATTCTCATATTCCTTGATTCTATTGTCGGGGGTTCGAGCAGCATCCGCTGATCTATCTCGCGCTATGCGGTTTCCCTTTTCTTGGGCAAAGTTGCAAGGGTGAAGGAGAGACTTTTCCTCTTCCTTGACACTGAAGATTTCCTTCTCGTCCATTTCTGTCCCGTTCTTCCTAATTTCAGGCCAATATTGGCTTGGTGCTTAAATCGATCGAAAGAAAATAAAGGCAAAGCAACAAGGTGAAGTTGGTTTCTCACCTACTCTGGAATTCCCACTGAACAGGAATACCAGATGAAGACTGCTTGATGAGGATACTGACCGCGAAGAATATCTAAGAGAAGTACCCATATCAGGACACGTGCATTCAACCATTCACTGCAAAAGGTTTCCTTTACCTGTGTTCACCGAGTTAGGCCTAAGTGAAAGTTGCATGACGGATCCCTCCCTTGCAATATCGCTGAACTCTTAAACTTGCCGTACTGATACTTCTCATACAGAGGTGTCTCACAGACAAGTGCGATTGGATCAGCTTACTGAAGTTGAGACTCTCCTGTCATAAACATCAGGTTCCTTGCAACGATTATCAAAGCGGCAAACAAGAGAACACAAGAGACATGGCCAGTTCTTCCCGTAATGGACCATAGTGATTGCGGTGGACTTTGGCACCACCTACTCTGGGATAGCCTGGGCTCAAACGAGTAACGTGCGTGGAGAGCAACTACAATATTGGAAGGTATACTGATGTCTTTCCCAGCCTGATAATCACCACATAATCACGGAATGGCCGCAATATGACTCTGACTCATGTGGTGGATTGACCAGCGAAAAAGCACCCAGAGAAGTCAGGTATGAGTATCCTCAGCACAGGAAGAAGAAATGTCTATGGGGCTTTCAAATCCTGGAGGAAATGCCACGGATTCGGTGGTTCAAACTCGAACTTGTTCCCGATCTTGATCTTGGGGAAGGAGCAAGACCGCCTTCGATACACAGTGATTGCCGCCGAATGTCTATTTCCTGTTTTTCATCACCCGAGAAGGTCGTTACCGACTACCTTCGTTCCCTACGTAAACATGCACTTTAAATTCTGAAATTGAGACTCGGTAGTTCAGTGGACAGCGCGAACCTCGAATTTGTTATCACAGTCCCAGCAATGTGGCCAGATAAAGCGAAAATGTCAACACTCTCGTGCGCAGAAAAAGCGGGCTTTGGAGACATGTCTACGATACACATTATATCTGAGCCTGAAGCTGCTGCCATACATTCGCTACGTGCTCCTGGGCACCCTTTGGCGGATATTGGAGATACGTTTGTCCTCTGTGATGCTGGTGGCGGCACAGTAGATCTTATTGTTCATGATCACTGGGCTTGAACCCTATGTGCGTCTAAGAGAAGAAGCACCGGGTACTGGATCAATGTGTGACAGCACTTTCCTTAACAAGAGCTTCGAAAAGTTGCTGGACGAACGCCTCTCCCATCTCCCGGGATGGGACAGAGACACGCTAGACGAGGCAATGCAGCGTTATGAAAGTGTCGTGAAAAGGGTATACGAGGGAAGCACTGATCACGACTTTATGTTTCCTGTGCCAGGTATAGCAGACAACCCGGAACTCGGGTGTCCGTCGCGGCCGAATTCGCGTTACTGGAAAAGAGATGCGGAAGCTATTTCTACCTACTATACGAGATATTGAGAAACTTGTCCGTGAGCAACTCCAGACTTCTCGTGCAGAGGTGAAAGCAGTTTTGTTGGTTGGGGGGTTTGGACAAAGTCCATACCTTCGCAAACATCTTCGTGACTGCTTCTCTCCGGGCGTGCAAGTGATAGCACCAGTCGACGGCTGGACTGCTGTCGTCAGGGGCGCGTTGGCAAAGACTCTTGGGGATATTTCCGACACAACGGCGAAGGCTTTCATAGAATCGCGCAAGGCCAGGGCAAATTATGAGACAATGTACCAGACCGAATTCATTCATGGGGTGCATGATGAGAATGAGAAGAAGAAGAAGAAGAAGAAGAAGAAGAAGAAGAAGAAGAAGAAGAAGAAGAAGAAGAAGAAGAAGAAGAAGAAGAAGAAGAAGAAGAAGAAG